TGAGGACCTCGAGCAGTCGCGGTGGCTCGTGCGCCAGGCACCAGCGGCGTTGGTGCCTGCAGGACCATGTTGGTTCGTCCAGAAGGAGCTGAAAGCGTGCGGCACCTTCCACCCAGGTCCCAAGGTCCCAAGGTACAAGGTGAGGTAGCTCCAATTGGCAATGAGCTGACTTGTTTTTCTGATCCGAAGTCAAAGGAGGCACAGCGAAATAAATCATCTCGACTCCCTTTCATCTTTGCGCTATTGATCTTCACTTTCTTTTCCATCTCAGAGTCTCACTCAACCACCATCAATTGGACTCGGTCACTCAATACGGACCCCCCTGTCATACTTTCGAAGCTTTGTTTCCCTTACTCAAGCTCCCCTGTATACGTTGCCGCATAACCTCCACATCCCGCCCACAATGTCCGCTCCAAGGAGATCAGGGAGAACAGCTGCTGCAGCTACGAGCGCTGCTCCCACTACCCCTGCGGCCCAGCCATTGGCTGGCACTGTCATCGCCATCAGTGGCACCTTTGACAAGAAGCGAACGGATCTTGAGTCGTGGCTTTCCTCCCTCGGTGCGGGCATCACTAAGTCAATTACCAAGAAGACTACCCACCTTGTTACAACACTCGAGGAATTCAAAGCTGTAACCACCAAAGTTGCCTCCGCCCAGAAGAATGGCATCTTCATCGTCACCCTTGATTGGGCCGAGAAGTCCGAGTCTCAGGGGTCCAAGGTCGCCGAGAGCGATTTTGAGCCTGGCAAACCCACAACAACCAAGGCAAAGGCCGCCCCAGCTGCAGCCACCAACGGTTCCACAAAGAAGAATGGAGCTTCAGCGCAGTCCAACAGCTCTCAGCAGAATGGCTCGCAGCCGCAGTCTCAAGCCAGCACTACGTCCAAGGCCAGTGCCGCAAGCAAGAAACGCGCCAAGGCAGATGTTCAGTCTGACAATGACAGTGATGCTGATGCCAAACCCAACGTGAAGAAGCAAAAAGCTGCCGCCGGTGCCAAGGGCAAGAAGAAGGCTGCTGATTCTCCGGTCGCGGCTGACGATGCTGATGACAAGACCGACGTGAAAAAGAAGGCTGCAACCGGTGACGCCCAAACCGCCTCCAAAGGAATCGTGGTTCCTCTTGACGAGGGTTGCAAGGTCCAGGGGAATGTCTACATTGCACCTGACGGTGTCATTTACGACGCATCTCTGAACCAGACAAACGCCTCGAACAATAACAACAAGTTCTATCGTATCCAGGTATGTACACGCCCGCTCATGCTACTAGTCCAAGCCGTCATCTAATCATTCCCACAGCTTGTCCAAGATGGCAAAACCTTCAAGACGTGGACCCGCTGGGGCAGAGTCGGAGAGTTTGGCCAGTCTGCTGTCCTCGGCAACGGTAGTCTCGATGACGCATTGAAGAACTACGACAAGAAGTTCAAAGATAAGAGCGGTATCGCCTGGGCCAAGCGCGCAGACCCTCCCAAGCCCGGCAAATATGCTTTTGTTGAGCGTAGCTACGAGCCAGATTCGGATGATGATGAAAACGACGAGGACGAGGGGCCGGCCAGCGATGTCAAAAAGGAAGACGACGACAGCGACGACGACATGGCAGACCCCGTCAAATCATCCCTTCCTCAACCGGTGCAGGACCTGATGGGCCTCATCTTCAACCAGCAATACTTCCGCGAGGCCATGACCTCCATGAACTACGATGCCAACAAGCTGCCCCTCGGAAAGCTCAGCAAGAATACCATTCTCAGGGGTTTCCAGGTGCTTAAAGACTTGGCTGCTCTTTTCAACGACAGCACGCTGGCTGACTCCGAATACCACATGTCCGTCCCGGCTGCGACTGAGCACTTGTCCAACTCGTACTACTCGCTGATCCCCCACGCCTTTGGTCGCAACCGCCCACCCATCATTGGCTCTGGTGCTATGCTGAAGAAAGAAGTCGACTTGCTCGACAGTTTGTCCGACATGAAGGTCGCAGCGGACCTTATGAAGGTTGATCGCAAGAACACGGACGTCCACCAAGCCGACAGACAGTACCAGGGTCTCGGAATGGAGGAGATGACTCCTCTCGACCGCAAGAGCCCAGAGTTCACCCTTCTTGCCGAGTATCTGAATGGATCCAAGGGCTCTACCCACGGTCACACCTACAAGATCGAGGACATTTTCCGGATTGAACGACAGGGCGAGCTGGAGCGCTTCGAAAAGAGCGAGTTCTCATCCATCAAGTCCGACCGCAGATTGTTGTGGCATGGCTCCCGAGTCACCAACTATGGTGGTATTCTCAGCCAGGGTCTCCGAATCGCCCCTCCTGAGGCCCCCGTGTCGGGCTACATGTTTGGCAAGGGCATTTACCTTGCAGACATGTCGAGCAAGTCAGCAAACTACTGCGCCTCCTATAACTCAGGGGGCCAGGCGTTGCTGCTGCTTTGCGAGGCCGAGCTGGGAGACCCAATACAGAAGCTTACAAACGCGAGCTATAATGCTGGCGATGATGCAAAGGCGGGCGGCATGTGGTCCACTTGGGGTCAGGGTAATACCGGGCCGAGCAAATGGAAGGATGCCAGCTGCGTCAACCCGGACCTCAAGGGTATCCAAATGGTGAGGACAAGCCGCGCCCCAATTGCAACGCAAAGACCTAATACTAACGATTCCGCAGCCTGACGTGAGCGTTACACCAGGCCCAACCAATGTTCCAGGCGCATACCTCATGTATAACGAGTATATTGCTTACGACCTTGCCCAAGTCCGCCTCCGTTACTTGTTCCGCGTCAAGATGTGAGGCAGCGAGTGGAGGGGCAAACAAGGATCTGATAGCATTGCTTCCAGATAAAAGGTATCATGACCCTCGAGACGGGGTCGCATATTTGCATGGAATTCGGCCTAGGTAAGAGGTCTTTAGCTTTTACTCCGTTATCACTGGCAACTGGCGTTCGATGTATTTAGGTAAATAAAAGAAACAACTGACTTGCTAGTATTCATGCATGTTGCCTGCTTGCTCATTGCCATCATATGTGAATATGCTATGACAACATTCGACATCACCGTGCCATTGGTTAGTAACCGTGGATTTGACGTATTCGACATTTTGAACTCTACAGGAAGTTGAGGTCTATCAATTCTCTGAGCGCCCAGACCTCTGCCCTCCAGACTCGACGAGATCATCCATTTCACCAGCATCTTTCCCACGCACTGCCTCCACCTGCTCATACACTCTGTCTAACCCCCAAATGGTCCAAACCACACACCCCAGTACCGCAAACTCCATCAACACAGTCATGAACAGATACGTCGTCGTATCTCCACTCACTGCACTAAACCTTTTCTCCCCGGTACTAACATAGGCAATCGTATAAGAGATCCGCACCACCATAAAGGGAAAACACCCCGCGAACCCAACCATGGCCCGCTTCTCTGCCTGCGGGATCCGCTTCCACTCTTTCGCAAGTAGCACAAAGAGGAGCACACCCCAGAAGTAGAGCGCGGCAAAGAGGCCTACGCCTGCCCTCGTGAGCGTGCCGGGCGCCGTGGCGTCGGACGTCTTTTTGGCTGCGAGGATGTAGTCTGCGATGGAGATGCCGAGACCGGCCCAGCATATTAGTTCGGGGATGCGGAAGTGCCACTGTGTTAGGACCTGAACGAAGGAGTTGCTGTTTCCACGGGGCAATACGTCAGCGCTGATCCGTAATGCATATGCGCGCCTTTCTACCCTATACAAGTGGTGGGCGCAGGGTAAGGGGAGGAGGGAACTTACACCCTCTTGAGCAGATCAAGCAGTACAAACGTCAAGAGAACGAGACCCAGGGACTCGCAGACGAATATGGCGGCCCAGACTGCGCGCGAGGAGTTTGTGAGTGTTCCCAGCATGCAGCCAGCGCCGACGATGCGGATGGTGGAGATGAAGGAGATGCCGAACCAGCCCATTTTCTTTTGGACGCGAAAGAGAATGCCGAAGGCGAGGTAGATTAGGAAGACGATGATTTGGGCGATTGCTACACCGTCGCGGTATCGAAAGGAGCGTGCCATTGTGATATTATTGCTGCTGATGCTCGCCGGGTGTAGGTTTTGATGATGTTGAGAAGGGGAGAAACACCAAAAGTGAACCAGTGTTAAGAGGAAAACAAGTCAATCCAAATACTGTAAAACTTCTTCAATGATCTTACGGAACGATCTTTTACATTTGTACGTACGATGCCTCCGATCATGTAAGCTCACGCCGGACGGACCTTCGGCGCAGACCTACAATGTCCCCCGGCTCCCGCTCGGGAGGCCGCTCATGGGGGACCCAGTCTACTCTGTTAAGCGAGTGCGAGTGCGCTACGGAGTATTCGCACCAGGCAAGGCGGTGCTGCGGATTTCTTGGGTCTCGCCCGAGGTCCAATAGAAAGCATTGCGACATACCAGGACGGATTTATGAGGATTCGATCTGCCAATTTGCTTACTTTTCAACCCCTGGATGATGGGCGGATCGTCTGCTCAGCCCTGCTGTAAGGTAGGTAGGCACGGTAGGGCAGGCGTCAAAGGATTAAGACAGCCACAATCCATCCCTCATCCAAGAAGAATTTACCGTGAGACAGGTTGCTTTTCAGACGAGATGACAGTCGCTGCTTGTAATTGATCGAAAAGGTTGGGGTGGCAGCTAGCGACTTTGGATGACTGGGCAGTTTTGCTGAATACCCGCCATCTGAGTCAGTTTCATCCCATCGTGTACCAACAACTGCACATCCATAACTGGTAGGTTCTCGGCGGTCCTTTTTGGACGAACTTGACTAATGCTTCAACCACGGATTTAACACTTTCCAGATATGTCGATATGGGTATGTCAAAAGAAAAAACAGCTAGTCCCCGACATCCAAGACAGCATGGATGGGCCTAGGAGCTATTTCAGCAACATGCCCTTTCCTTATGAAGTCATCGCGGGGCAATCGGACGCCGGATTTAGGCCCCGCGCTAGCAACTCTAAACTCTAAACGCCGGCAGTGGCTTCCGATTTCTCCTGCACTCAAGCATCAACTTCTTCCCCTCGCATCATTGCACCCCATCTTTGAGCCCTTACCACAGTGATTGCCACCATCCGAGAGTCGCTTAAACTTGTGCGGCAACTCGAATTGCTCAGAAACTCTAGGGACAATCGTGTCTGTAATCGTGCGTGATGTTTTGCGACATTTGGGAGCCCAGCGACAATTGGGCTGGCATATCTGATCAAGCGCGAAGAAAAAAGTTGCAAAATAAGCTCAATCAGCGCGCGTATCGTTAGTACTGCTTCAGGAAGATGCAAAACCCCAATGAACTCACCCTGTCCAGGTAGGAGACATGGAAAAAAGGGCGATCAGGCATCATCGAGTTCAGGAGAATCAGATAACCGGGGCGTGATCTGCACAATAGTCAGAGACACAACCATCAGACAGCACGAAGCCGAAGCTGGAGCAGCTAGTCTGATAGGCGCCGTTAGAAATGACGAGAGCATATTGATCACGTTATTGGCCGGATGCGAGCTCATCGAGTGTCCTCGACGGCAAGCGTTGGCTCGAACACGCATACAGCAAGTATACGAGGACTACTCTCTCCACGCTCCTAGACCAAAAGCTTTACATACTCTCATACGACTACGAGTTCTCGCCGCCCTCGCTCACAACGCATCGTGCATGGGGTTTCCCGCAGAAGGCCTATGCCGATCAGATTACATCTCACCATATAATACCTATGGCCCCTTGATCCCCTTTCAATCACGCATAGCCAGTCCAGCCCTGCAGCCTACTCTCCTGCAAAGAACGGTCCTTCACCATCCATGGATCGATCTGTTCCCTTTCCCTCGCCTCCGGGACAACGTTCTCGTCGGGGTAGTCAAAGGGGATCTGGACGACGACGAGCTATGCGCTGATATTTTGGAGGTCAAGGACGAGGATCTCGGCGACAAGCCTTCGCTGATTGTATGGGGCGAACCCTGGGACTCGAAAGCGTGGGAGGCGAACGAGAACTTCTTTACGAAATGGGGATTCTTGGTCAAGGGGTGTCCGGAGCTGTTAGAGGCTACAAACTGTTGGAGGGTGAAGCGGGGTGAAGAGAAATTCGTGTTCGAAGTTTGAGCTTAGCCTGAGGGAGGTTAATTGCACATGGGTATTCAGGCACTATATAGATCATGAACGAGAAAGGTTTCGTTAAGCAATCTGCTTTCGGGGGTTTAGTTCCCATGTCTTCTGTTGCTTCTTGCATTGTTAACCTGTAATATGTCCTCGCTGAGGCACACATTGTCCACTTTATTGATAAAGAAACCATCTGTGACAAAACCAACTGACTGCTGACCCAAGAGCAGAACATGAGGGTAATTAATCCTTCGTCGATTCCATGGGTTAGAACTTGAAGGACAATTTCCATGCAAATTCGTCGGGCCGCGCCTCGTTGGCCCGTGGGCACACGATTTGAAATAGGAGTTGCATCTCCGCAGGCAACTCCGCCAGATCTCCGCGTCTGACTTAGCTCCCGCGGCCAAACCTTGTTTCGGACAACCTTTCTCGAGACCTCCAACATCTCAGCTTCTTCGGTCACCAAAGAATCAGTAACCTGTTTGGCTCCAACAACCCATCAGCTCATCATGGCCCGCAGATCGAAACAAAAGTCATGCTTCACTTGTGTAGAGGCAAAGAGGCGTTGCGACCAGAGTCTCCCGGCCTGCTCACGGTGTCTGGACAAGGAAGTCGTTTGCACGTATCCTACTGTCCGACGAAGTAGACAGGCGCCGATATCCAGCCACGTCGGCTCGAGACTGGGGTCGGGATGGGATCTAGAGGCTTCGTGGCCGGGAAGCGGCATCGATAGTATCGGGGTCGTGCTAGATGAAGCCCTTTTTGCTCCGGCATCCGCACCAGGGCCAGCTGCAGATATCGCCGCAACGACGATGACAACCACGGCATCTTCCTCCACCTCCTCCGCCGCCATGACCCAGACCAACTCCGATGGCGCTTCACAGTCGGTTGTACCCAACGCGGAAGGCTTGAATTGGTTTCTCCAATCCACATCCTGGACCATCGACTACCAACGCGAAGCGCCGGTGTCGATTCCGCCAGCCGCGGTATTTACCAACTTCATCCGCGGACTGCAATCTTGGCTCGTCCGCTTCCTCCACAAGGGGTGCAATCCCTTCATCCACCAGCACCTCTACTCCGAGACGACCATGCCCCAGTGTATCCAGGACGCATACGCAGCTATTGCTATAGCGCAAACCATCACCCCGGATAACGAGCACGTCGTTGACGCCGTGTCGTCTAATTACATCATGACCCTCCTAGCCGCCAACTCCGCAGACGAGGCACCGTTTCTCCCGATCCTCTCGACGAGGCAACACCTGGCGCGCACACAGGCTCTTTTGATCCATCTGCTCTTGTGCCTCTTCTCCCCGTCAATACCTCGAAGAAGTAAAGCGGAGAATTTGATAGATACCCTACGTCTCTGGGCCCGCCAGCTATGGGAGTCGGCGGCGCTAGATGCAACGACGTCGCCCATCTTTCCGAACTTCCTGTCGAGGACGTCGTGTACTCAAACCATCGAGACGGACGTGGTTACTAGCCTGTACCAAGCCTTCATTCTCTCAGAGTCCATCCGTCGCACATTCCTTCTTACAAGTATGGCTACCGGAGTATACACCAGTCTCAAAGAGACGTGGACCCATGACTGTGCCGGTGACGTCTGCATCACGCTCCGCGGTGAGCTCTGGGAAGCTTCCTCACCTGCCCGCTGGGAAGCCGCCGCGCGGAAAGAGGACCCTTTGTTTCTCCATAGCCTGAAAGGGCAATCTCTGGTGGCCCGAGGGATTCGGGCTGCTGAGGTTGATGAATTCGCTCGGCTAATGTTCACTCTTCTATGGGGATTGGAAAAGGTAGATCAATGGGTTGTGAGCACTGGAGATTGTGTTTCTGTAGACTATGGGACTTGTATTTGAGCTGTACGAAGTTTGGCGTTACGGATTGATTAGCTGATTACTTATCGTTGCAATGAAGAAGGCGTGCAGTGCTCATTTAATCACCGTGAGATGTGGATGTGGCTTCTTTGAACGGTCTGAAATAGCAATTTGTTTCTAGGTTATTGACCGCATATGTATACATGTACTCTACATAATAGCACCACAACAAAAGAGTTACCGAACGTGATCCGTGAGACTTCGGCCTCTGGTTACCATGGTTGAAGACTAGGGAGTCCTTGAGCACGAAGCTGCGCATTCACTTCCTCATTGGCGTTGCGCCATAAACCTGCGACTTGCTCCTCATTCGACGCGACTGGGTTCGGGTCTCCGATTTTCCCACCAGGAAACACAAACTTGCCTTTGTATTTTAGAGAATCCTGGCGAATCTCGTTCGAGGCAGCTGCAAAGACGGGCGTAGCAGCGCCCTGCTCCGGGGAGATGAATGTCCAACGCGCAATCATCTTGACCAGACTAGGATTGATCGAGAACACCCCTTCGGTGGCAACTTCGCCAGGATGTACTGCCATGGATAGAATTGACAGCTTCTGCTCATCCATTCGTTTCTGTAGTTCTTGGGCGAAGATAGCGTTGGCAGCTTTGGACACGCCGTAGCGGATCGTGTCGAAGCCGAATATGAAGCGACCGACATAGCGCCATTGCCATGGAGGCGAGGGGACTGGGTTACGGAAGCAGTCGGGAGAATTAAAGTTGAACGGGAATTTGCCTGGGACCAATGCGGTTTGGGCACTCGAACTCATCGTGATCACTCGGACATCGGCGCCTTTATCCTGAAGTGCATTCTTGAGCAGCGGGAGCATGCGATTTGTGAAGAGAAAGGGGCCGATGAAACTGCAATTGTCAGTGCCTTTTGGTCATTTATTCAAACTATTTGAGGCTGGTTAACTTACTTGGTAGCCATATGGACCTCCCATCCTGGGCCAACCAGTTCCGTAGAAGTTGTTCCTGCGGCAGCGTTGTGAACTGAACGGTTTGAATGTGAGAAAGAAGCTAGAGGAAGCAGCAAGTTGATGAGGAGACGTACTAAGTATGTCGACTTTGCGCTCCTTCTCCTTGAGCTTGTCCGCTGTGGAAGTTACACTGCGCATGTCGGTGACATCCATGGTTATCCACTGCAGGTTCTCGGGATTGATTTCGGGGTGGGCGTCCAAGATTCGATAGCGTGACTTGATGGCTGTGGTTTCAGAGCGTGTGGTGATGTAGACTTTTGCACTCTTCTGGGCGAGAATTCCTGCTATTTCTCGACCAATGTCGCTGCTGTTGACCGTGACCTGTCAGATACCCGCCTGAGGGGCGAGAGATTCACAACACTGAGGTAGTTTGGAGATAGTTGCTTACTTGCCGCCCGTCACGACGGCAATCTTTCCTTTTAGATTAGGCATATCGTTGAGGGCCTTCCACTGTTTGGCCATTTTAGATGAACGGGCTTGAAAATAATAATTGAGGGCAGGCTCAGTTTTCAGGAGTCTTGAGCAGTTGCAGTAGACGTCTGGCTTGAGGCTGATAGATTGATAATGCGTTGGAAGTTTAGTGATGAACTTGAGATCCGTCAACCTTCCTTTATGCTCGATGCGATGAAATGGTCTTATGAAAATTGGACAGGTGCCCTGAGTTTCAAAGTTTAAGACACAAACCGAAGTCCGAAAGCATCGGGCCTGGAGTAAGCGCGTGTGACGATAATTTCCCCGCTCGGCAGTATTTTGATCTTATTACACGGACACGCGGAAAGAAGTGTCTCCCGAAGCATGAAAGAAGCATGATGTCAAGAATGAAATTATATCGATAGACTGTCAAACGTTAACTGTGTACCACGCCAAGCACAGAACATAATGCTGCGGAGTTGCTCTGGAGCACTAGCGGAGGAACGGCGGACGGACAGTGGAGGAAAATGGAGGGCCTGTCGGCTGGTCAGGAAGGGAATGTGGAGTTCCAAGAGATAGAATAGTATTCTGTAGAATACGATCCCCGGATTCTTGAATACAAAGTATTAACCGCCCCTTCTAACTCCTTCATGGCTATCATATTTAGGCATCAGTGCACATCGTTCCCTGCTGCTGACATCCTCTCCAACCCCCCTTTCAGTGTTTCTTCCACATCTAGGATGTTCACTTCACTCTCTTGTTCTTCGGAAAAGAGAGATGGGGTCTGCAGCTGGCCTGGAATTTTTCGCAGGAAAACACCAGCCCAAGCCTCAGCATCACTGAAGGGGATGCTTCAGCACGAGCTTCCCAAAAGCTCCTTGCTCGGTAACCGTCTTCATCTCTTTCAGCGCCTGTTCTCCAGTACCCTCAAACACACGTACGACGGGAAGCTCGAAGCCCTTTCCATAATTCTTGACTACCCAGTCGAGGGCAGCCCACATGTTGGCGGCTTTTTCGGGTTCTGCGGGAATAACACGGCGACCATCGGCAACCTCAAAGACGATATCGTAGTCTCGAGATCCGAGAACAGATTCGCTTGGTGAACGCTGCGCACCCATTGCATTGGCCCAAGAAAATTTGACATCGCCAGCGATATTGAATAGCGCAGCAAGGAGAAGCTGACTCGACTCGGGCAACCCTGCAGTCTCGAATCCCCAGACACGAGAGTGGCCTGTTTTGACGACCGCTTGTCTGACCTTGTCTAGGACATCTACATCCTTGTAGTCAAAACACTCGGTCACACCGAGTCCTCGGAGAAGATCATGACGGGAAGGAGATGCCGTAGTGATGATGTTGGTAACCCCGCTAGCTCGAGCCAGTTGGATGGCAGACAAGCCGACGGCCGTACCTCCACCCCATACGACCAGCGTGCCCTCCACAGCATCAGTACTAGATCCTGGAAGAGGGAGTTTGAAGTTGTTATACAATGCGTCGCTGGCGGTGTGGCAGACGGTGGTTATAGCTGCGGCGTCGGAGTGAGCCATATTCTCAGGGACTTTGAAAATGCCAACTCTCGGCGTGGAGATGCGCGGCTTATGAGCGCCGTACTCTTTGGAGTATTTTCCTTGGGCAACAGTCTGACCGGCCACGATATCGCCAACTTCGAGCCCGGAGTCGACAAGCGCGGGGCAATCTAGGACCTTGCCGCAGAAGTCTGATCCCGGGACAGAGTTCCGATAGTTGATGAAGTGTACTATCTTGAGATCAGCAGGGTTAACTCCCGAGTAGAGGACGTCAATGAGAATCTCGTCGTCTCGAGCTGTGACTGGAGGGAGATCGCGTCTAGTAGTGACTTGTCCATCATTTCCGATGAAGAGAGCAGCACCTGTCATGGTTGGGAGTACGTGTAAGTCGCAAAATATCAATGGAAGCGCGAGATGATTATTTAACAAAACATCCAACGTACTGAAGACACACGCGCAAGTGTTATTTATCTAGTCTTCGAAGGTGCAGGTGGAGGGACCCAGCTTCAGCACCAAGATTGCTCAAAGTCCGCCAAGTCCGCCTCTCTGCAGTCATACTACATGCTGTGACACAATTGGATTCAACTGTGACGGTCACAGCCCCCTTTTGGTCTCACTGAGAGGGAAATCAGTTGAAAGTCCGCAAAACCTGTCGGACTTTGTCAAAGGCCACGAACTTGATTCTGAGCTATGAAGTTATGATGTTTATGTTCACAGCCCCCACAGGTATGGAACTATGACATGGAAAAACATTTGTAAATGGCATTCCAAGATCAAATGACGCCTGAAAGAAAATCAGAAATCTCAAAAAAAGATCTTCAATGCATGATATGTTCATTGATATCTACCTATCAATAATCGAGTAACCGCCGAAGCATTACTTGCGAAAAGGTTCATGGAAGTTGATGGTTGCTGATTTCGCATAGGTACCTAGTATGAGTACCAGATCGAACATGTGATCGATGGCTGGCGATAAAGCGTCGTGTAGTCGTTTACATCTTGACTGGTGCCGACTGACGCGGAAGCCTCTGGACGCCCGTATCTAGGCTTTGATACCCATCCTCTCAGATGCCATCAATCTCGTCAAGAAGCGTTCTGTCGAAGAAAATCTATCAGCCATGGAGCGGAGGTTGGTCATCCACGATGTCATCTCCGATTCCGTTATTCTCATTCCACTCATCGGGGGCTTCAAACGTCTCATCCGAGATCCAGTTTCTCGAATGAGGAGGTCGGATAGGCTGACGATCATTAGGCAACCAGTACGCCTTGCGATAGCCATTGAAGAAGTTCATGCCTTCCTCCCGAACATCGCTGAACTCGCACATGTCCCAGTGCCAGACGGCGAGGTCGATCCACTGGATGCTGTTATCGCACTGGTGCTTCTTGCACTCGTCCAAGGCCTTGCCGAAGCTGATCCAGTCGGGCGTGTGTGGCGGCGCCGCTTTCGCACACCATTCTCCGGCGAGGTTTGGGAGCTTGGCGCCTTTGAGACGCCATTGGGTTTCTCCGATGCAGTATTGAATGCAGGTAGGCAGTCTGTCGATTCTGACGTGGCGTGCGCTGGTACGTTTGGGAGGTTTGGCGAAGACTGCCAAGGGGGCGAGAAGAATAGCGAGAGTAGTTGACAGCTTCATATTTGCGGTTGCGTGGGTGTATGTAGCTGTGTATGTGTATGAATGAATGGCTGTGAGTAGGTTCTCTTGATACGTTAGTTATACGCCTGACAGGAGGGAAAGGAATGTATGTACTTTGTTCAATGTGGTGCAATAGGTGGTAGCCACGATCAGTGTGGTATGTGAGAGATGAGAATGAGATGAAGCATGGGTTGGAAGAAAGCTCCAATGTTATATTGACGCTGAGGTGATCTCCGGAAGCCAATATGGAAAGGAAGTTCGGGGAAGCGGAGTGGTAAGGTTGAAGGTTTTAGGGAGTGGGCACGTTGGACATCGTGAATTCGAAGGCGTCGCGTTTCGGAGATACCCTGATCAGAGCAGAATACCTTACAATGATTTTGAATCAAAGCTTGGGTTCTTTGATAAGAATTCTTCGATAGATATCAAGGTATCTACCTTATCGATTAGATATTATCGCATCAACATGCAGTCAAACAGGCAACGAGGTGGCAAAGAGTTACCAACAACTATCATATTGATGAATGCGGCGATGAACGACTTCTACTACCAATGACGCTCCTCGGTAGACTGGCGTGAATTCTGTTGAACGCGTAACATATTCGTATCAACAAACTTCCTATAACCGCTGTGTTGCTGAATTCCAGAGTAGAGCAGAGTTCAGACTGTGAGAGACATAGAAATTCAAGCCACCAATGGTACTGGACCTTATTTCCCTGCACAAGCTTCAAAGCACACCCCCTTAAACGTCTTGTGAATCTTATCATCAGTAGTTACCGCCGAACAACAAGTCTTGTCTCTTCTCGCACACTTCTTCCCTTTGCTATTCTGGCAGTCTTTATCAGAATTACACATATCCTGACAATACTGCCCATCGAACGCGCCGCAGAACGGGTCGCCTTGAACAGGCTCCATACAGTCACACAGCTCGTCTTCTCCAGCACCGCAGCTTGATCCGCTGACGATGGGTTCTTGGCAGCTTTCGAGGAGGGAGACACCTGTTGTACAGGTGTGTGGCTCGAGGCAGTGGCCTGAGTGACAGTTGAAGCTTTCTGGGCACTATCGTCGTGTTAAGTTGAATCGTCTTATACCGTGAACAACGGATCGTGTTGAAGAAGAGCCTCACCTTATTTCCGCACTTGCCGCAATTCATGGGATCGCTCTGGAATGTGTCTCTGGGCAGGCACTCGGAGTTGCAGCACGTCGTGCTCCCGCCACACTAGGCGCATAGTCCAATTAGCCGCCGATACAAAGTCGTGGTACTCGTTTTACAAAGACGAGTTTTCATGTCGAGGGTGACTTGCCTTGGTCCCGCACTTTCCGCAATTCTTGCCATCACTCTGCAACTGCGTCGCACTCATACACTTGGAATCGCAACAAGTTTGCCCTTCATCACACTAAAAGACGTGAGTGAATGATTAGGAACGTCGAGTTAGAGGACTGGAGAAAATACAAGGATTCATGAATACACCTTGACGCCACATTTGCCACAATTTTTGCTGTCGGTTTGGAAGCTGGTTTCAGGAACACACTTCGAATTGCAACAATTCTCCTTTTCTCCGCACTGGCAGTCATTCACCACATTAATCCATAGACCATATATTGGGGCTGAAAGGGGGGAAATGAGCAACAAAACTTACCTTGTTTCCACACTTCCCGCAGTTACCAACATCAGTTGTCGTATCGACACACTCGGCCGTCTTCCCAGTCTTGCAAAACGTCTTGGGCTTCTCGCATGTCTGGCAGAGGGTATCACAGTTCGGGAGGACGAGTTTGAGGGGCAGACAGAGTACCGAGCAGAGGGCGGGCAACTCGTTAGTAGATACGGTATCTTGAGAGAGCTCTTGAGCCGCTGGTAAGTTTGTTAGTCTTGGGTGAAGTTAGGAACAAGTGCGGAGCTTACAGATCCCTGTGCTGGCGATAAGAAGCCAGATTGCTATGGATTTGGGGATTCTCATTTTTCACTGCTGAAAGTTGGTGATCTGGGAATATGGTGCCACTTTCCTGCGAGGCAAGGCACTTGAAGAAAAATGGGTGGACGCCGTCGAAGATTTTGTGGAATATCTGTAAATCTTATATAGATAGCTTGTCTGCGCAACTCTTAATATCCATTTTGACTGAGCTTTACTTCGTGGTGTATTGATTCCATCGTGGACCAGATTCACGAGTGCAATGTTAAGCATAGGAGACGTCGCACTGTAATATCGTAACCGTTCGCCTTGAGCAACGCATCCAGGAGGAGCAACCCAGCTCCATTGCGATTCTTAACTGGGTAAGCGATCAGATGTCTCGACGCTCGTCAAACCTAGGAGTTTCATCACTGATCAATGACCAATAGTGAAGAGTTGTCCCAGCCAACACGTATTACATGAAGCGGCCAATAGTCTCAGATACTGTTACTTAATCGATAACCTGGGGTGATTCTTGGCTTGGACGGCTAAACCCATAGCCAATGGCTCACAAGCTTCATAGCCCATCGGCAATCTCGCAATATGTCAAGACCGATACTGAAAGACATGTTGATAGATAAGGTGTGGCGACGCAATGGGACCAATCATGTAGATCTATAGCTAAATCTATCTTTCCTCTTGCTGAAATTCAGCTGATCGCCTAATCTTGGCGAAGCCGTTTGATGACCTTAAAGTCTGGCCGTTGGTCAGCTTCGCCAAGGCCAAGAACATCCCAAGAGCACCAAGCCTTGGACAAAGTCACAGGTGGAGAGGAGGGCGTCGGCGCAGCAAAGGACCCCTCAAAGCAGCTCCGGTCTGGTTCTTTGAGAGATTCTTCGTTCTCCGAGTTGCGAGTGCGACTTGGTGGATACTCGTCTCTGCTGCTGTATGTATGATGACGGCGCCGTGGCCAAGCGTCAAAGGCAAGGTAGACATTCTGCATGCCCCCAACCCCGCGGGACCGGCAGACAGACGCTTGAGAATGGGGTCAATACCATCATCCAAGACGTGGGCATATGCATAGTGCCGTAATACAAGCTCATGGGAGGAGGGAGGATAAGCAATGGTCAAGCTTCATGCGGGCCATTCTTGGAACGAGGAAAGAGTAAGACGGGCAAGACGGATAGTTGTGGGCTTGGGTTGCGATAGCAGAACCGATTACCATCGCGAGCAAGTTGCTGCTGTAGTGACCGCCCTTCAAGTGTGTTTGTGATGGACGAGCATGCGGCCATCCATAGGGGAGGTGTCTCACCCCAGCTACGTTGCTGCAAACGTGCGAGCAACGTGTCGTTGTCTTCAAGGGAAAAGTAACTTACGCTAATAGCGCCGGAGTGGAAAACCGAGAATTAGAGTCCAACATAGACCGTTCCGAGGGGTTGGTTCGGGTCGATGGCCGGTGACGCAAGGTGACGGCATGGATAGTGTCAGTGAGCATGATTTGGATTCTCTACGAAGCTATACACGAACCCGATCTGTGGTTTCGACGATACCAGGGAGCACGGCGACGGCTTGGCGAAATAGTTTCGTTGCCAAGGACATACGAGGAAGAACTAGTAGTGTTTCTGGCCTGAGCGAGCGTGGAACGAAAGAACCGAGGGGCTCGAAGGGGGGCGGAATGGCGCTCTGGGTTGAACCTCCTACGTCACTTGGCCCGGTCCACACCATCTTGCGCGGTCGCGAGGAGCCAAGCGCTTGGCGACTCCACCGAAAAGATTGTGACCGTGTCAGACCATTCGATGTTGCACTTGGTGAACAAGAATGACAAGAATTAGAAACTTGAGCTCGGCGCTGGAGAGGATGTCGGTTTGAGGCCGTTTGGATGAGGAAGGGGGAGTACACTAGCCGCCGGGAGCGATGATTCGATCTCGGATGCCTCGTGCGCAGATATGGGCGCCGGGCGCGGGGTGATGGGCGACAGGCAGCACAGATGAGGAAAACCGACAGAAGGGATCAGCATCGCGTTTGGATCGTCGACGCAACCCCTCCATGTGTGCGATGTAATGTCTCTCGTCCCCTCGTTCTGGTCTGTGTGTGATGGGTGGTTTGGTTGTGCGAGCAGCGAGCCTGTGTCCTCGGGTTGCGGGCTGCGAGCTTCGGGGCCGTGAGTGGTCAATTGACGGCAATGTGGGATGATGGGGTCAATGGGGATTTTCTGGGGTCTAGAATGCCTGGGCCCAGCTTCGGTCATCCCACGTCGGAGCTGATCCAACGTCGTTGCGTCGTAGGACAAGAACCGCCAAGGGCCGCCAAGTAGAGCCGGCGCAAACGGAGTCGCAATGGTGGGTAGCTGGGTCCTGACTGTAGTCATGCCATGGTATACGGTACGCGCGAAGCATGGACAGGAGGCCATGGGTAGAATAGTTGTCGCCTTGCCAGTTGATCAGGATGGGTCTATTTCTAGAGGATTCGGTATTGATGGTATGTAGGCTGGGCATAACTGCCAGAAACCCACATTCCAACGTGAGTGAATGGTTGCAGCGGTTGCAGAAATGGTAAGATAGCCGTGACATTCCTCGCTTGCAGTCGGAATAGACTTGCTTTTTCGTCTGACCATGTCCGGGGCGGCACGGCGACGTTCGCCGGCAATCGTTGTCCGGAGGCTGGAGATGTTTCCTATATCGTCCGCGCCGGCGGCTCGCCGTCGAACCCCGATCCACCTTGTCCTGCCGTCCAAGTCTGCCTAACCAGACCTTCTGATATGCAAGATGGTGTTAGATGGTGTGAAAGATAGTGTACGACCGACGGCGCGGACGAAGTGGTATGGTAAAGGTCGGATTCTTGGCGGCGGACGGAGTTGGGCGAAAAGTGATTAAATGTGGTGTGCCGTGTTGCCATCCGGTCTCGCCATCTCGCTCCGCCCGGCGGAACGCGAAGCCAGCGTCTGGCTCCGACTTTCTTCGGGTTCGGTGATGGATTCGACAAGCCCATATCTTACGAAGAAGACTGATCAGCTGACGCGTAGGGAGGGTACACGTGATGTCAAAGCTTGTGAAGAGTCAGAGCAGAGCCTCTCTCAGCCTCAGCTCTCGGAGATATAGGATGACTGGGTTTGGCATGTCGTTCCGGGGTGCAAGTAGGAGTTCGGCATCTGGAGAGGCGTTGGTGAAAGGATCACGTTGTTTCGGGGTCTGTTTTTGTTGAGGTGATGCCGAGAGTTGTTCCATTTGGGCGTACCTCCCCATTCGTATCTAGGCACGCTAGGCAAGTACCTCTGCGTGGCCAGGAAGGTGCAACGCAAACGGCCAAACCACAAAACACAGCGCCCAGTTCCAGCGGCTCTCCGTGGCCGTTGTGGGCTTTTGCGGCAGCCAAGGCGCCATGATTCGCCCCCTTGCAACTACCTTACAGCGGATAGTCGCGGCGAGTCCGCTGAGGTGCGTAGGTACCATGGCTGTGCATCTTGGCTGGCAAGGTACCTCCGCCCGCTGTAACCAGGTGCTGTGTTGCTGAACCAGCTGGAGGCGAGCCAAGAGAGAAGGAATCCAGTAGCCAAGAGGCGACGGGCCAATCAAACAACATGCTCGTGCAAAAAGACCCATATAATATGTGAAAATGTCTGTGCGTCTGGCTTGGGTACGTCCAGCAGCACGTGATGCATGCCCCCCATGGCGCAGTCGACACTTGCCATTGGTTCATCGCATCGAACAACTTTATTCGCCGAGCGGCGGCCAATGGCGTCACTGACATGAAATGGGTTCGTTCCATTCCTCTGCCTTCATGGCGAAAAAGCTGCAGAGTCACACTCAATTTTCAAATATGTGTGCACGCTAAGAACTTTCAATCTGTTTGCAGCTGTAATGGCCCGTTCGTTTTATAGTCGTTCTTATGTTTTTTTTTTGCATGAAGGCTCCAATGGCACAACACCATCTTCCTGCTACTGCAGCTCACGCTCCGTTGGCAGCTTGACACAACTGGCCCATACGAGCAAATACCTCCAGTCTCTCATCATGAAGTTGCATTCTTTCAATAAGGTGTCATAGAGAAACAACCTGCAACTTGCCTCAATCTCAATGAGTACCTTAAGGCAAGAGAGTGAATACTCACATTGCGTGCCCCCGGGCCTCCCTCCGGTCCTTCTCTCCAGAGTTCCTTCGTTCCCCAGTGCCCCCTGCTCTTTCCCTACCTTAATCCGTGCCCCACCACCGGACCCCACTCCCTCTGGGTGCCCCACTTCCGTCCACGCCGCTTCCCTCCGCCAAGAGCTCCGCCAAGGTCATCGTCACCCGAGGACCACCACCCAACCGGACCGTCTTTGCTCTCAGTCCCTTTTTTTCTTCTGCCTTTTCCAACTCCAAACCGAACCTCTCAGGAAACTGGAACGGTCTCCAAAAGCCAAGAAGCTCACCACCCGCCAAGTTCAGCCAAGTCAAGCTTCCATGTCTACCGCCTTGGTACAACCATCAACGCCCAATCATACACTTTCAGTCGGCACAATGACCGAATGCCTTTTTTCTTTTGCAAGCTCTCGTGCCAATGTTCCCTTCACGACAACGCCCCTCTACGAAGGGGGGGCGTGTTATCATATGCCCAGACCTTGGCATCTTTCCCAGCTTTTTCTTTCTCTCTCTTTCACTTCCCCAGTCTGACACTGATGACCTTGTGGGTTACGAGGCACAAGCTTCCAAACTTTTCGAAACCCTGCGCATTTCCAAGTCTACCAGTCTCCCGGCTGTCAGTCTATAAAGGTAGCCTTGTCCCCCCTCATCCTTCATGATCTCAAACTCTAGATCTGTCCTTCAAACAGCTTCCCCTCTCCTTCCTTCCAACCACACATCGGAAGAAGAAGCTTTTCCAGGTTACCAAGCCAACCAACAACCATCCTCCCTAACCACATCAACGAGTGAGAGGCATCAACACCACCGCCTATCTCTAGTCTTGATTTGGCAAGTTCTACCAGCTGATTCAAGCTTCTCTCCACCTACCATCTCGATCGTGAATGGAAACATCCTACATTGCATCGACGTCGCCAGCTCAGACACGACACAATGTCTGGTGACTACCCAAAACACCCCTTCCTGCTGACGGTCCAAGAGACCGCTCAGGCGCTCGGAGTTGACCCCGACAAGGGACTGTCTTCGCAGCAAGTCCAGCAGGCTTCGGACAAGTACCCTCCCAATGAGTTCGAAGTCGGCGAGTCGGTGCCATGGTACACCATTCTCAGCAAGCAGTTGTTCAATGCCATGGTGCTCGTTCTCGTCTTCGCCATGATTCTCAGTTTCGCCATCAACGACTACATCGAGGGTGGCGTCCTTGCCTTTGTCATTGTCGCCAACGTCACCATCGGTTTCTGGCAGGAATACCGCGCTGAGAAGCAGATGGATGCTCTCCGCACTCTTTCTGCCCCCTCTGCCAATGTTCTCCGCGACGGAAAGACCAAGGTCATCCCTAAGTAAGTACGCGCAATGCGTCAACGCACAGTTCCCCCACTTTCTCTCACCTTGGCTCTCTTGGCTCTTAGCCGCCTTGCTTGTTTCCCCTTGGCAAACATGCTAACCATTGCAACAGCGCCGAAGTTGTCCCTGGTGACATCATCCTTCTCAAGATGGGTGATACCGTGCCTGCCGACATGCGCATGTTCGAGGCTATGAACCTGTCTTGCGACGAGCAGTCGCTTACCGGTGAAGCTCAACCCGTCGACAAGACTACCGAAGCCAACATCATGGTCCCTGGCTCCGAGAAGAAAGCCACAGAAGAGGGCGAAGTCGGTATTGGTGACCGTCTGAATATCGCATACGCCACAACAATTGTTCGCAAGGGCCGTGGTCGCGGTATTGTGGTTGCTACTGGCATGCAGACCGAGGTCGGCAAGATCGCCGCATCCACTCAGAAGAAGACTCGCAAGCCTGGTCGCTCCATGAACTACAAGAAATACGGCAAGCGTCAGCCCGTTGTTGGTCTCTCGAGACGTGTCTACGATGCTGTTGGCAAGTTCTTGGGTCTCACTGAGGGTACCCCTCTGCAGAAGAAGCTGGCCGCTCTGGCCTACCTTCTTTTCGGTTGTGCCATCATTCTGGCCATCATTGTCTTCGCTGCCCACAAATTCGATGTTACTGGTGAAGTCATCATCTATGCCGTGTCTCTCGGTATTGCCATCATCCCGGAATCTCTCGTCGCGTAAGTATTTAACAATTCTTTGCCAACTCAAGTCGCCACTAACAACAACCCAATAGTGTCCTTACAATCACAATGGTTGTCGCCGTGACGGTCATGCGAAAGTCCAACGTCGTCGTGCGAGACCTTTCTGCCCTCGAGGCCCTTGGTGGTGTTACCAACATCTGCTCCGATAAGACTGGAACCCTTACACAGGGTGCTATGATTGTCCGCAAGGCTTGGCTTCCATTCTCCCACACCTACACTGTCCGAGACTCGCAAAGCCCCAACGACCCGACCAAGGGTCGCGTCACCCACTCGGAGTCAAAGGAGCAGGAGAAGGTCGTCGATGAGGCCCCCAAGCGCGACTACGATCAGGAGCGATCTGCCGCTGTTCTCAAGTTCGATGTCCCCGAGGAGAAGCTTCAGAACAAGCAGCCTGCGAAGGCGCCCGAGGCCGAGAATGAGGCCGAGATGACCCCGCGCCTCAAGGCCTTCCTCCTGTCTTCCGCTCTCTGCAACCTGGCCACTGTCCGATACGACGACGAGGAAGCCAAATGGCAAACCACTGGCGAACCCACCGAGATTGCGCTTCAAATCTTTTCACACCGCTTCAAGCTCGGAAAGAAGTCCCTCGAGGGCCTTGGCTGGAAACAACTTGCTGAATTCCCCTTCGACAGCTCCATCAAGCGTATGTCTGTCATCTATGACATCCCCGAGAACGATGAGACTGCCGATATCTGGAGTCCCGAAAACAGTCTGGTCTTTACCAAAGGTGCCGTCGAGCGCATCCTGGATCTCTGCACCCACATCGGTTTTGGCGAGGATAGACAGGAGCTCACCGACGCCTTGAAAGAGGACGTTCTAAGCCAGATGAACGAGTTGGCCTCCCAAGGCCAGCGAGTTCTCGCCATCGGCTGCCGGGACTGGAATGGAAAGTTCACCACCAAGCAGGCTGATGTCGCCCAGGAGAAGGAAGATGCTCTGCGTACCGAAGTTGAGCAGGGTCTTACTCTCCTGGGTCTCGCTGGTATCTACGACCCTCCCCGCCGCGAGACTAAGCCATCCATCGCCGAATGTTCTTCTGCCGGTATCAAGGTCCACATGCTTACGGGTGACCACCCCGAGACAGCCAAGGCTATTGCCAAAGAAGTCGGCATCATCCCCAAGAACCTGGGTGTTCTCCCCGACGAAGTAGCCAAAGCAGTTGTGCAGAAGGCCACGGATTTCGACAAGATGACTGATGCCGAGATCGATGCCATGCCCGAGCTGCCTCTGGTCATTGCCCGTTGTGCTCCCGATACCAAGACTCGCATGATCGACGCCCTCCGTCGCCGCAACGCCTTCATGGCCATGACTGGTGATGGTGTCAACGATGCCCCTTCCTTGGCTCGTGCTGATGTCGGCATTGCCATGGGCTCTGGTTCTGATGTTGCCAAGTCGGCCTCCAAGATTGTGCTCACGGACGACAAGTTCAACTCCATCGTTTCCGCCATTCGCCAGGGTCGTCGCATGTTTGACAACATCCAGAAGTTCATTCTCCATCTTCTCAGCTCCAACGTTGGCGAGGTTATTCTGTTGTGCTGCGGTCTTGCTTTCCGCGACGGTGCCGATCTGTCCGTCTTCCCAATTTCTCCGCTTGAGATTCTCTGGATCAACATGGTTACCTCATCCTTCCCCGCCTTTGGTCTGGGTCGTGAGCAGGCTGCTTCCGACGTTATGCGCAAGCCCCCTCAGAACAAGAAGCGCGGTGTTTTCACCAACCAGATCATCATTGATATGATTGTCTACGGTATCATTATGGGCGCCTTGACCTTGGCCACTTTCATCATTGTCGTCTACGGAGCCAACGGCGGAAACCTGGGTTCCGAGTGCAACAAGACCTTCACCGAGGCTTGCAGACCCGTTTTCCGTGCCCGCGCTGCTGTCTTTGCCGAGCTCACCTGGATCATTCTCATCTCTGCCTGGGAGTTCAAGAATCTTCGCCGCTCCATGTTCCGTCTCAACCCCGACAGCAAGAGCAAGTTCCCCTTCTTCAAGGATATTTACGGCAACAAGTTCCTGTTCTGGGCTGTCATCATTGGTGCCCTGTCTGTGTTCCCCGTCATCTACATCCCGACCCTCAACACCACACTTTTCAAGCACATTGGAATCACTTGGGAGTGGGGTATTGTTGTCGGATTCACTCTCCTGTACGTCGTTGGTGTCGAGGCTTGGAAGTTCGTCAAGCGCACCTTCAACCTCCTCGACGACCACCAGGTCGTTCGCGGTGCTTTCAGCCAGGGTGGCGAAGACGAGGGCCGCGACTTCAAGAAGACCATCACCTTCAGTTCTTTCAAGAGTTGGCACTCTTTCGGCCGCAAGGATACTGGCGAGTCGACTGGCCGCCGTAGCCGCTCTCAGCACCGCACCAACACCAACCTCTCGGGCGATACCCACACTGCTGATGCTTCCCCGAGCAACAGCAATGACGAGAAGGCGCGCATGGCGGGCGGTGAATGCTGAACGGCATGGCCTATTTTATTGTTTTTTCTGTGATTTGATTCGCAAAGAGTTAATGATACCACTGTCACGAAGAGGATTTGTCGCATAGCGCAAGATCCATGATTTGACGGCCTAGTCAGAGGAGGAAAGAGGCAGGCCGTGTTTCAGGGAGAGGATGATTGGTTTGTACCCTCGAGAGGGCTTTTACATGGTACTATGGTTGAGCATCACGATGGATCAATAGACCGTCTTGATTTTGATAGGCTAGAGCAATAATGACCTGGAAACAATTTTTGACTTTCTCAAAGTGAATGCACAATGGTTCGCATCCAAGTACAAGCGGCAGCTGCTCAGAGTCCACACATCAGACGTGAACATGTCGCATCTTCCAGATTCGCCGAGAAGATTGTGCGGAAAACAGTCGGGTCCCGTGAAAAAGCTACCGATCCAATCGCTCTATGGTTTCGTCAATAACAAGAGAATGAATTAGGTACTAGCTGAAGGGTGGGCAAGTGCTCATACTTCGAGAACCCACGTCCTGTCACACCGGTACTCGCGGAGATGGAGCCGACTAGTCACCGGTCATCGGACACGGGGTTGGCCCGACTGGGAAACGGTGGCTGACTGCCGGCGAGGTGAATTGGCCCGGGTAGTCATGGGGGATCTCTGATTGTTTCCACGGACTTTTGGCGTGATTTGCCTTTCTCGAATCCGATTGACGGGATCGACGCCACGGATACGGGTAACGCTTTTGGGGCTTGAATTGCGGGTATTATGTACCCCGCGGATGATCCGCGGATCCGCCATCTTGGTCAGCCCGCATGTCTCCGTGGCTATGGTTCCTACGAGGGTAGGCACGGTAGGGTATCTGTGCTATCGTCCGAGTCCTTCCGCTTAGTTCGGATTAATCCTCGCCGGTACTTGCTGTTGACTGCATGTCGTTCGGCCCGGGGAGCAAGCTATGCCTGAATAGGGCTGACAAAGAGCAATACGACCGCTATGGCGCATAGAGCTTCTTGGGTCTGAGCCTTTGAGGTGAGATTGGCGGGACTGATATAAAAGTCCTAAGTGCCCGGTATATCGATGAGCACAGAATATTGTATCTATCACACATCTTCGAGACTTCGAACTACCAACATTTGTCCGCAACAATGTCTCCAACTTTAGACTTGAACATCCCTCCTTCAAAGTCGACGGTCTCCGTCTCCATCATCGACACAACACTCAATGGCGACCTCCCCACGGCACCCTTCATGGGTCCTGCTATGAATGGCTTCGAGAGGTGGTACGGCGTAGGCTACGCATTTCTGGTGACGCACCAGGACGCTGCTGGAAAGATTAGACGCGTAGTTTTTGATCTCGGTCTGCCGAAGGACTGGGACAATGACTTCTCTCCAGCTGTACTGGAGATGGGACAGAACTTGGACGGCACGATGATTGCTCAAAAGTACGTCTCCGAGATCCTGACCGAGGGCGGTCTTGACTTGGGGGAGATCGAGGCGCTCTTCTGGAGGTACGTAAGCCATGCTTGCTTTTTTGTGCAAAATGAAAGTAACTTGAGAATGTGATAGCTGATATGGTGCATAGTCACGCACACCCAGATCACATTGGCCGCCCGTCACTCTTTCCCTCCAAGGCATCGCTCATCGTCGGTCCGGGGGTGAAGGAGGCGTATCTCCCTGGCTACCCAACCATCCCAGACGCACCTGTCCTCGCTCGCGAGTTCGAGGGCCGCGAAGTGCGGGAATTGGACTTTACTTCCACCGATATTGAAATCGGGGGGCTAAAGGCGCTGGATTACTTCAACGACGGGAGTTTCTACCTCCTCTCCGCGCCGGGCCACGCCATCGGACATATCAACGCCCTGGCGCGTACCACTGAGGATAGTTTCATGTACTTTGCAGGCGACTCCTTCCATCATAGCTCCGTCCTCAGACCGCACGGCGGCGCGACGCTACCAGAGGAAATCCGGCTGCCGGGCCACAGCTGCTGTTCGGGACGGGCGTTCCACGCAGTCCACCCCGTGGCTGGTAACTCTGCCGCCCTGGGGCCGTACAGCAAGGATCTAGGGGAGGCGGGGAGCGACGCCAACGGAATCCCGTTTCATGCGCTGCCTGAGGGTGGGATATTTATGGACTTGGAGGCGTCGAGGGAGACTGTGCGTGCTATTCAGCGGTTTGATGCGAGCCCAGATGTTTTTGTTGTGGCGTCGCATGATAGTAGTTTGGTTGGTATTGTGGATGTGTTTCCTGCGGATGGAAGTGAGTGGAGGGCGAAGGGGTGGAAGGAGGGTGGGAAGTGGGTGTTTTTGAAGGATTTCGAGAAGGCGATTGAGATTGCTAACTCTAAGGAAAATTTGTGAGAGTGATGATCAGTGTATGTTGCAGTAGCTTTGTATCTGTAGACCTTCTCCTCTTTGATCTTGATGTCTACTTCCACGTTGTCTGTGTTGCTGCTTTTTGCTGAACCTGAAACCGAAGCCTCATTGTAATTATCTTTCAGGTTTTTCCTTATTTTTGACGTAGGTTGCCTCGATCACATCTACACCAACTGCATCAAAGATTCTTTGCCCAACATATGCTTCCAAAATCTCGATAGTCGATACAGAACCCCCATTCGCATTTGATGCGCCCATTGGTTCAACAAGTAAAGGAACATTCAACGCCGGCTACGATAATTCAGGACGGTGCCGGATCGCAGTCAGGGACGTTTTTGCACTGGGTGTCCGGCCCATAGACGCCGTCGATTGCGCCAGAAAGGCTGGCGCAAGCCTCGACGCGATCATCGAAGAATTGTTGAAAGGTGATTTGGCCGAAACAGTCGCGGTAGTTGATGTGGCAGAATTTGGCCATGGATACGGAGGCCAGTACCGGTAGAATAGTCAGAGTTGATGGTTTCACTAAAGTGAGAGAAAGTCATGTGAGATGGAATGTGGCCCTGTTGACTGCGGGAGGGCGACTTGCTGCTGTCTTGGCGGTGCTCAACGCTTAAGGTACTCCGGGAGAGATACTGTTTTGATTCGCGTATGTTGACGCTGTTCTTCAGGAATTTAAACAACGCCCGACTCTTCCCATCGAGTACGTTGATCTGGCACAGTTTGGCTGAGACTTTAATGTGTGAAGTTACCGCAGTGAAGGAGAGCAGCTAGCAAATTACAATTGTCAAGTCAAACTTTCCAGGAGATTTTTATTCTACCACATCAAGACTCCGCCAAGTCGATTCTTATTCAACTACATTCATAGTTCAGCAATCCGAAACTCCAGTTACCCATTTCGGTAGGAGCTACCGGAACGTTACCATTCAAAGTGGAACGAGTCAAGAGAATAGTCACGGTTCAGGCCACCGCGTGGCAGCTGAAAGCGGTCATCACAAATTGATCGTCGACAACAAGCAACATAATACACTTTGCCTGTGAAGAATTTGGAAATGACAACGTCGTGTTGGATATCCGACGGATCCGATCAGCGCAATCCTGTTGAATTGCAAAATGACTGCCCACAACTTAAAGACCTGTCTGCACCTTTGAGCCTGCAGTGTTGATACTCTGAGATTACCCTCAACAGCGTAACTCTTGTAGACTCAAATCCCCGGTCTCAATTCTTCACAGGACTTCCCGCCCCCATCAAGCACCACGAATTTCAGACTTCGGCTTCCAGAATGCACGGTCAAACAAACCTTTTGACCATGGCGCTTGCACTCTTCGTCATGTGCCTATCCTTGGTCTCGGCAAGTCCGCTGCCCTTGAACGCAGATGGCTCAATTGCCATCCGACCTCGACAATCCGTGTGCCGCCCCACCGTCGGCTGTGTCCCCTTCTTCAACGCACCAACCTGGAATAGCTTCGAATTGACCATCCCCGCCCCCGGCGATCCCCGCACCCAAACCGCCCGGTCTCCCGGCGGAGAGATAGAAGCCTCCGTTTGGAACCGAGCCCACGGATCAGCTTTTCTTGGGATCCACCTCGGGGACAGCTACATGCTGCCCGGTCACAGCGAGATGTAGATCCAGGCGCGGCATCGGAACACTGCTGTCACCCTCAACCGTAACTCCACCCAACTCGAGGGCGAAGGGGGACTTGCGACCATTCTTGCCGCGTCGATTTCTTCTTGGAGACAGGGTAATCGGATTGGGAATGCCATTACTCTTACCATTCGATGGAGACTGGACCAGGATCTATAAGAGAGGGATTGATCGATCGGCTCACATCAGAATGGACGAGAGACGGGATTGCTTCGGCCCTTTCCAGTCATGCGTGTAAGGCAAAGGGTTATGAAGTATTAGTTCTGGGTATCAAGCCAGGGCAAAAGCGGTGAATGACAGGTAGTCGCAGATCGAGCTAGGCAGAGTGCAACATCCTCGTTAGGTATCAAGAAATCGAAACTCTAGTCCTAGTCGATCCCGTGTCAGTTGTACAGAACAGCTCAGATATATAGTTCAGAAGAATACAACTCTCGGACTTATCACAACATTCATCGACATTTGGAAAAAGATGGTGTAAAAGAAATTGACTCGATAACACGCAGCTCTATCAAAAGTCTTCTTCCGCAACTGATCCCGCCTGATTACGTATGTGGACCTTTAGGGCCAATTAGACGACGGTCCCCGGTCTTGTTCGCGCCCTTCGAGTTGTTGGTGCTAACCCTTAGGGGTCGGCGTCTCACTCAACTTATCAGCAAAAGAACTTTGGCGCCAGGCCTTGCCAGGGCTCTTGACTCACTCGGCATACTTGGAAAAGTGTACGAGTACTTTACTCTCATCCAATTTCTGTCCAGTCTGCTCAATCTGCGTCAATTCACACACAAGAGATGGTGTAGAGGTGTCCAACTCCAACTGCCAATCAGCATCGATCACCGCAGCAAACATGGCAACGCAAGCCGCGACAGAGTTGCAGACATTTGAACCTGCTTCGTCAACGCCAGTCGCTTTACTGCGAAAAAACCATGACGCGCCATCAAACTTCCAGCAAGCTCCCGGCAGGCTAATGACCACCGACTCGGAAGAGGAAGCAGCGACGACCGCCCCCGTCCTGCTCTCCAAAACTCGAGCCGGCATTGTCATCGCCCAAATCTGCGGTCAGCTCTTCTTCAGCAGCTTCTGCAACGGCATCATCGTCGTAGCCCTACCCGCCATGCAGCACAACCTAGATCTGGACGAAGGTCTCCTCGTCTGGCCTAGCTCCAGTTACTTCCTCACGGCGGGATCGTGTCTTCTGCTCGCCGGCTCCATCGCCGACGTCGTTGGGAACAAGCGGGTGAACCTGACGGGCTCGTTCTTCAGCGCTATATTCGCCATGGCGTGCGGTCTGGCGCAGACGGGTGGCCAGATCATTGCATTCCGTGCTCTTCAGGGTGTGGCGTACGCTGTCATCACGCCTTCGTCCATTTCCATCATCTCGACCAACATGGAGGAAGGGCGGCCGCGCAATATGGGATTTGCGTGCATGGGCTTCTCTCAACCGCTCGGCTTCTTGTTTGGGCTGGTGCTGGGTGGTGTGTTTACTGATAATGTTGGATGGCGACCGGCTTTCTACCTGGCTGCGGCTGCAAGTGCGGCTCTATTCTTGGTTGCCATATGGGCTTTGCCGCGCGACCTTCAGTCAAGGGATGACCGGTCCATTTGGAAGCGACTTTCCAAGGACATTGATACTGTGGGAGTAGTCCTGGTCAGTACCGGGCTGGCGACCTTGTCGTATGTGTTGGCGTAAGTACCTGGTCCATGTAAAACGTAGTGAACGAAATGGCTAACCTGGCGCAGGTCATTGTCAGCCGACATCAAAAACATCCGTAAACCATCTAGCATTGCGCTTCTGGCAATAGCCGGCTGCTCTATTCCTTCATTCATCGGCTGGATGCACCATCGGGTGAAGAGCAACAAGACCGCCCTCATCCCCAATTCGCTCTGGGGCAGCTATGTGTTCACGAGCTGCTGTGTCATGGTACTACTAACCAACGCTCTCACTAACTGCATGGAGCTATACAGCAGTTTGTTGTAAGTCTTGATAACACCATTTTGCGGACTTCTTGAGTAACGTGACCCAGCTTCCAGCAGGTCCAGGGCTTGTCAGCAACAGTGGCATCAGTCCAAGTCGTTCCGTCTCTCGCCGCCGGGGCACTGACAAGCATCGCAACTGGCATCTTCGTTCACCGCATGCCCGTCTTGTGGATGCTATTGATCTCATCGGCAATGAGCACAGTTGCGCCGCTTCTGATGGCCCTCATTCGGACTAACCAATTGTATTGGGAGAACGCCTTCTTTGCACAGGTAAGCAAGGAGAATCCCCATGACCTAAACGATTTTCAGCCAACATCCATAACCTACGACTATCATCTGTTCAGTCTAGTTTACAGTAACTAAGATATCCTCATGTAGATCCTCACCCCCATCAGCTGCGACATCCTCTTTACAGTGGGCCTCCTCATCGTCTCCGACGTCTTCCCCAAACGCATGCAAGCCCTCAGCGGCGCCGTCTTCAATACGTGCGCCCAGCTCGGCACCGCCCTCGGACTCAGCGTGGCCCAGGTCATTGCCTCGTCTGCGACTAATGCCTCTTCATACGCTGACAAGTCGTCGCCTGATGCCCTCATGGCCGGCTACAGGGTTGCCTTCTGGGCCATGTTTGGCTGGATGATGTTTGTCTGTCTCGTGTGTGTGTTTGGGATGCGCCGGGTAGGTGTTATTGGTGTGAAGCGGGATTAAACCCATCCCTTTTATCACCACCAGCACGGCTTAGTCGCCTTAAGGGGGACACATATCGACATAATAGTGCATGGCCGGCGTCTTTAGACCTTGTGGACAAAAACAATCATACCGGAACTATGAAGTGATAGACTGTAGAGGTGTGTGATACTTTAAATACAGAGGGATGCATTTGGAAGCAAAGACTATTCTCGAGTAAAGCATGAGGCCCTTGCCGCTGCAACCTCGACCGATTTCAAGTATTTAATCATTGAAAAAGACTCGAGGAAACGTGGAGATCATCCGACCTGATACCATATTTCCGAGTCTCATCCATCCTCAAGTGGCATCAATATCCGTCACCACACCGCATTCCGAAGCTTCAGTAGTAACGACGGCTAGCCTCAGTATCCCGGCTAGTCTCACTGCTCTGCTGACTCCCACCACCGCTCACATTAACGACGACAAGTGGCTGCGACCTCTGCCGCTCCTGCTCGCGCTCCCGTTCACGTTCGGCATCGAGGTCGGCATTTCGTTGTTCATGGTAGGCATCCTGGCTGCACCCGTAGACGCAGTAGGTCTGAGAGTCCTTGATCTCGCGGTTGCAGCCTGGGCAGCCCTTCGTCATGGTCGCGGTCTGAAGAGTTGAATGGTAGGGTTTTGGATTTGAGTAAGAGAGTAAGCAGGGTTTTTTTGCACGTTCAAGTCGAGATTGTTGATGTGGGCTTGAAGATGGGAGTTTGGCGTTTTTGAGGAGAGGAGGCAAGTTCAGTTCGACAACTTGGAGTGGAATCCTGGTGGATTTATATACCCCGAATTTCTAGCAGGACATGATCACTTGCATTTTCTTCATCCACATGATTCCTGGCGTTGGTGACCTAGTTGCAGTAAATCCAGTCGTACCGATCGAAGGCACCTCCGGAACCAAGTCCTAAGCGCGCGCGGCCTCCCAGCCTGATCTTGCATTAAGGCTATGCGTTGTACATTGATAGTCAGTCGGCCTCACTGTTGACGAGATGACGCAAGGCCAAGGAGGGATCGACGTTCAATTCTCGGATATGGTTTACACCTGAACCTCTAGACTCATTCATGTCGGGCGCTGAAGATAGAGGTTCGGGTGCGAATGATGTATCCGATGCCCGGGATCTTCATGTTCTGACAGCTCTGAGCTCACATGGCAAGACAAGGCTGGACGGAAAGGGGGGCGGGGGCGGGTGAGTGGAGGTGAGTGCCTACCGTATATTCTTGCGGCGCGATTGCCGCACAGTCACTGGAGCAGAGAGGGGGATTCACGGGGGTGATCCGCATAGGATAGAATGCGGTGTCCTTTTGTAATGAGCCTATGAGATGTGGCTTGGAGAAGAAGGTGTTGGGACTACGTTATCGAGGCTGCTTACTCTCGACACGTCACAAAATACGACAACATACAATTGAAGTAGAAAAAGAACCAGATGTGATTGAACGCCTTGGTGGATTCTAACATCATACGTACGCTCTCCAGTTGTGAAAACGTTGAGATTGAAATGACAGCGAGTACGTATTCAAGACAGATAATGTTGCCGACTTGACACGAACGTAAGGGCAAAGTTGGTTCAGCTTTCAAGATAATTAGATTATGTGTCTTCGTCAATTTCCCTCTGAGCGAGCGTTAGAAAGATCAAATTGAGACTATTTCAACATCAACATGTTAAACGGCAGGTTCGTTTCGTTCTCGAACCAGGATCTCCACTATCGTGCGAAATTGACAAACAGATTCTAATAATAATGCCGAGATCCAGGATGTCCATGATGCCCATGACCATACCCATGCCCTCGATGATACCCTCCTCCTCCCCCTCCGCCACCGCCAGATCCCACGTTAACAACCACAGGCGGTACCCTGCGCCGTTCCATCTCCCTCATCCTCTCCCTCTCCCGCTCGCGTTGGCGCTCCCTCCGAAGTTTGCCCTCGTAGTAGGCCACCTCGCGGCAGCCGTAGTTACAGTAATCCTGACGGTCTCGGATTTCTCTGTTGCATCCCGGGCATCCTTTCGTCATGTTGGCGAAATGCAGTGGTGTAGGCGGCTTGAAGGTAATGTTTGTTGTATTACTGGAACATTTGATCTGCTGATAGAGCTTTCACGTTGCGGTGTTTGTTGACGTAAGAGTAGATGGGTGGGGGATAACTAGGAGGCTCTTGAGGGAATTGAGCTTTCCATCTGCGTGGGAGTCTTGGGAGCTTTTATGCCTCATAGATCCATCATCCATTATCCCGGCCTTACGGCACAGAGACCAATGACGCCTTGTTCACGAGGGATGTGTAGCCGCCAACCATGTGCCAATGACTCTTCCTCAAAGCCTCATACGAAATTAGAAACTTCCCCATAAGCCTGCAGATTGTTGCTATGGTCAAGATCCGTTTGCCACAAGCTAATGCAACAAGGACGCATGTTGGGCATACTGCGGCTGGTAGGAGCCGAACGTACGAGGAATCGATGCAAGCTGACCATCTCAGAAGACCTCTCGTGTAACACCGCATGCGAAGACTCATAATAGTAGGTATTCTGAGGTCGTAGTGGTGTCTCGGACGAGGCTGTAGGATTCACGAAGGGTTGGATAACCGCGCGGGTTGTTATGTGATTCTGACCATTGTGGCACGGCACATCTAACCGGCCGCGTACAACTTCCTGTCAAGTAAAAGATAAATTTCAGCTTAATGACCACCTGGAAAAGATTGTGGTAAGAGTTTTACTAAGTGCTGACGTTTGGTAATGTTACCGTGGGTCACATGGTGGACTTGTTGATCAAAGGACTGCCACGATAATCCCAGACACTGGGGGCAGGGTGGTAGAATGTATTGGGTTATCTTCTTCACCAGCGCCATCACATAACATGAAACATCACTCTGGGGTTCAGTGAAAGTAGATCAAGTATTAAAAACTTCCATTAGGTGTAAACACCGGGTAAAGACTAATATACAAGCTTGTGCTGTAGGGTATTGTGGTTTCTTCAGCGAGGCCGTTACTCATAACTCTCAGACTCCAAGACTCCAGCTAACCTTCTGCGGAGACAATCATCTCCGATTCAGCATTTCATGGTTTCAGTACCACATGCCGTCTAGACATGCACTTCTTAAGTGAATTAAACCATCGCATCGGGGTGGCGGGATCCAGAGCCGACAGGCTTGCGGGATCCAACGGGCTCGCCGTAGTCATTAACACCGGCGCCAGTGGAAGCACTGTGCCCGTGGCCGTGGTGCTTCTCGCGGTGCAGAATACCACCACCGCCACGCTTGCCCCAGCCGGCCTTGCGAGTGAAGACAGCATCGTACAACTCAGCCTCAGCGCCGTAGTTGAGAGCCTGGCCACGGTTCAGGGGAATGTGGTTGAAGCGGAAGTCCCAGATGGCGGCGTAGGTCATGCGGTAAGAGGAGAAGGCAAAGGTGATTCCGATGGCGGCACCAGCGAAGATATCGTACCAGTTGTGGAACTCATCAATAGTGAGCGCGCCGCCAATGAGAACAGCACCAAGAATGGGGATATAGGTGATGATCAGCTTCCACATCGCGGGGTGGTAGTCGGAAAAGACCTTGAACTTGGCGTTCAGGTACAGGTAGAGGTATCCGAAGCCGGCGAAGGCGGCGGTGGTGTGACCACTGGGGAAACTCTCGAGAGAATCGTTGATCTCCTTCATGTCGCCGGTGCAAACCTCCTTGGTGACGTACAAGCTCTGGAATCCAGCGGCGCTGTAGCCGGTGCGGGCGATGCCACCCTGGCTGCTGGTCACACGGGACAAATCGGGCTGGCAAGCCTCGAGGAAGTGAGGGCGCAGGCCGCCGATGAGGAACTTGATGAAGACCTGGAAGACAGCGGCGCAAATGAGGGAGTAGAGAAGGCCGATGACGGCGTTGTTTACGTCCCAGAAGGAGCGGATGCGGATCTGCATGAGAAGGATGATGCAGATGGGGATGACGGAGGCGAGGAAGGCAGCAAGCCAAATGGGGACGACTTCGTTGCGCATGGGGTAGGCGAACTGGGGGTAGACGACCTCACCATCGGCGAAGGTGACGGCGAAAGAACGGTTCGGGGCGGGAGGTGCCATGTAGATCTGAGAAATGTTAGCGACGCTTTGGCAATGTGATGCTGGACACAATGGGGCTTACTCCGAGACCGATGGCACCCATGCAGATCATGGTGATGATGTCGATGAGGGTGCCCTTGAGCCATTGCCCGAAGCTGGGACGGGTAGACATGGAGTAAGGCTCAGCGCCACGACGCTTGCTAGAGACGCCGTTATGGTGACCGTTGGCGTGGCCGGTGGCAGCAGGGCCTGCTGGTGCCGGCTCGCGACGTTTTCCAAAGATGCCCATGGTGATGCTTTTTTGATGTTGTTGGTGTTGTTGTTTTTGGGTGTTATGCAGTGTCGTATTAGAGGTCTTGCCAAGCTTTGGTAAAGACGATGCCAAGACGGGATGGCTGTGCTTGACTGCTTGTGCCTCGCCGGGAGCTGCAAGAAGTGTCTTGGCGAGCTGTGATGGATGGAAGGGGTGGCTTGACTGTGAGGGATGAAGGGAGAAGAGAGAGCAGAAGAAGGGGAGGGAGGTCGACTTTAAGCTTAAGGAGTAAGGTCCCGGGGTCTACAGTCTGTGGCAGGCAAGAACGATGTCGAGGCGTCTACCGATGCCTTCCTTCCTCTGAGTATTCGTGGTAGGTACCTTGGTACTTGCGAATTTGGCTTGACGTCATGTTTGTTTAATCCCAAAATGGGACGAAAAACTTGGGAAGGTGGGCACATGGTTGGGGGATGTGGGATGGGGGATGTGGGATCGAGGGCAGGCGCGACGCACGCACGGCGCGATGCAGCCATACGCAGCCATATGTCATTCCAGCCGCGGCTTCATTTCAGGCTTTTGCTAGGGGCGGTAGGACGCCGGGGCGTTTTGCTACCTCATTTTTTGCACCATGAAATCAGTCGAGAGAGACCAAGACATGGGTGTTTGCTGTGTGTACCTTTGGACTGTAGCACGACGGACATTGGTTCACTTTCAGCTGCGGGACCTTTTGGGGGAGACATTTCAAGCCAGGGCCGTTCCTGTTACGCACTAAAACCCCGGATTGTGGCTAGTGACTAAACTGGCTCAAAAAGTGACTTGTCTGTCTAAGACATTCTGGTCGTTGAGTGTGTGTATCCGTTCCGTATCCATACGAAATGCTAGCAGAAAGAAGGGAAAATAACAGAGAGGAAAAGAGTCAAGCCACGCGCTACTCAGTGAAAGTACTGCGCAAAAAAACACCAACGACGTCATGCCGCCTCGGACGCGTGGGCAGTGGGCACATCAGCACATCCTTGGCAACGACCGGGCCCGTTCCCGCACTCCACAGCGAGCTTCTCAATCCCTGTCAACCGGCACCTCAGATCCGACTGCCCCAATCAGAATCCCGGACCACATAAGATTGGAAAAGGTCTGGACTGCCATAGGATGGTGATGATGCGCTACGCTCTGCCAAAGGGCAAAGGCGTCAAGCCACGCCACACGAGATGAGGCGTAATAATACTCCGTATCTGTTTTTCTTCCTCTCTTCTATCCTGTCTGATTCACAGCACCTTGGGGGGAACAGGCCATCAATGTACATGTACACAGGCAGAATTTTACGAGCTGCAGAGGGCAACCTGACTCCAAAGACGTCTGTCTGCACCTAAACTATGGCTGACTGCATTGGGCTTGACATGGTAACAGGACGCCAAACGTCCAGAGACATATCCCGCAAAAGCGTCGCCGATCCCTTCAACATGTCCTGCTACCTCCGTATCAGGCTGTACAGGCATCCCTTTTGTTTGTTGGCTCGGCAAGCCTATCAAGACATACATGTATCCACTGTCTAAAATAGAGATGTCATTCTCGGCAACGCTGTGACGATTCTCGCAGAGGTTTAATCTTTTGTCAGATGAAAACCTCAGAGCTTGGTACTCACGTACTCGAAATTTGGTTCTAATCCCTGGCAACCGGACTGGGGGAGGGTCGTCCGTAAGGCATCATGGTACACGGGCATTCCAGGGGTCGCTCTCGAGGGGGACCAAAAGGTCCGGGACGTTTGTATCGACGATGGCCCGTGGTGTTAGCGTCCTCGTGCCACCCAACTACCAATTTGACGTTGCACCACCGCTAGGGAAATTTAATGACCTGAACACATTCTTCCTCGAATGGACACGGCAGATACTCTTTTTTCTGATTTCGTTCTTTTCCACACTTCGCATTAGCAAATGTGAACCTGACAGCTTACACTATTGGCTGTTGTTTCATCAACCTCGAAAGGGGTGAACCGGTCATAGTTTAGCTCCAGCTCCCGTAGCTTAAACCAGCTTCATGCATTCACATTTTAGACATTTTTGGCATTGATACCTGGGCACCTACACGAAAAGCAATTCTCAATAGCACTTTCCCAACCTGCTATTGCCCTCGTCGTGACTTTTGTTGGCCGATTTGGTCAATCTATGTAGGTAATTTATCGATCAACGTTCTAGACAAACATAGCGCCCTCGTTTAGACTTTGTTGCATATTAATTTCCGAAAGATAATCATGGGTTGTTTCAACTTGGCCGGGACCAATTTTCGCTGTAGTGATGAAATTTTATAGCCATGGGTGATTGATTCTAGATAATCCGCTCCCCAATCCCCAACCCAGAAGTTCACGTTCATCAACACCAAGCAAAATAATGGATATGCTAGGAAAAGCACGAATGGTACGTGGGCGCAAACCACATATCATTGCGAGTTTAGAGATCCCGTACGTCAAAGAATCGTGACAGCGGAGCAAACCGACGTCATCCCGCCCCCAAAAAAGGCTCCCTCCTCCATGTCACGGCACACGAGATCCGCCTTTGCCAATCACATCCTCCTCCAGCCTACCTTAATTGCTTGTCGTTCTCTCTCTGTCCATTATTCCCGTTTTGCCAGCTATTACTTCGTTCTGCACGCGCCACAAATCTCGATTTCAAGAGTTTTGCCATGGCTCGCCTGGCTAATGCGGCACCGCCACACCGCCACAGATCAAACGCGGCCGGACTGTGACGTTGGTACGCTATTCTGGCCGCGGGTGATGGGGACCCAAACGCACGTTGATCGATTGAGAGAACCTATCCACCAGTCTTCTTCATTCTCCGTCACAGTAGTATGAGGGAGGCATCGGTGATCGTTGGTGCGCTGTTTTAGCCAAGTATCTTTCGAGACGCCTGCGGGCTCCACCGTGAAGCAATACATTGCGCGGCTTCGTGAGATCTTCACATCCTTCTGCCCAAAGGTGATTCCCGCTCGTCACCTGCTACTAGAGAGCAAGGCAGGCTTCTCAGCCAGAGATGCAACCATTACGCAGACGAAGAGAAGCCGCAGAAAATCACTGCGGCAGCAGGTTTGAATGAGTATGGCCAAAGATTGGGAAGTCTTGTTGTATTTCCGCCCTCTTCGTGCTTCTCCTCCCGGAACGCCAAGCCTATGAATAAGAGGGCTCCGAATATGGTCCCGCCCAGGCGACTCCAGTAAACCATCATGCCTTCATCCATGCCTCCCCACTTGCAGTTGCTCGTCATCATCGACGAAGCATCTTTTTTGTACGGATTCCTTTTTTTGGTTTAGACATCCTCATCATCTCTCCTGCCCACGAGATTACATCAACGACGTCCGCCGCGGCCCCGGCCGGCACCAGGCATTCCGCCGCCCATGCCCGGCATACCGCCCATACCGCCCATACCACCCATACCCATCTGCTGCATCATGGCCTGCATGTCGGGCATGCCACCGCCGCCTCCGCCGCCGAGCATCTTCATGAGGCTGCCCATATCCGGCATTCCGCCCCCGCCCATGCCTCCGGCGCCGCCCATGCTCTGCAACCGCTTCTGCATGGCCGCCATCTGTTGTGCCTTGTTGCCGCCGCCCATTGCCTGCTGCGCACGCTGCAAGTTCTTCATGTTGCCGCCCATCTTCTTGGCCATGCCGGCCATCATGCGCTGCTGCGTCAGTAGGTCCTCCACCTCGCGCACCGAGGTTCCCGATCCGTGGGCGATTCTCGTCATCCGCGTCGGTTGCTCAATAAACATCTTGCCGTCCGAATCAAGCTCCTTCTCCGTCATCGAGTCGCAAATGTAGATCATGCGCTTGAGCTTGGCGCTACCCTCCTCGTCATCCATGCCCTGCATCATACCGCTCATGCCGGGAATCATGCCCGCCATCTTGGATAACGGTCCCATCTTCATAATATTGGATAGCTGGTCCCGCAGGTCGCGTACCGTAAAGATACCTTCCGTGATGTGTTTTATCGTGTCCTTCTGATCCAGCTTCAAACTTTGCACGTGCTCCACCAGTCCGGCCATGTCGCCCATGCCAAGCAGCTTCTGTACAAATTGTTGTGGTGCGAAACGCTCAAAGTCGAGCATGTGCTCACCCGTACCGATAAAGACGATAGGGGTATGTGTTGCTGCGACGGCGGAAATGGCACCACCACCCGCCGCGTGACCATCCGTCTTGGTGATGATGATGGCTCCAAAGTCTGCCGATTCCTTGAACGCCTTGGCCTGCGACTCGGCCTGTTGACCGATGGATGCGTCGAGCACCATGATCGTCTCATCGGGTCGGATTGCCGTCTGGATATCCACCATCTCCTGGAACAGAGCCTCCTCTTGCCTGTGACGACCTGATGTATCCACGATGATGATCTCGAACTTCTCCTTTTTGAACTTTTCGACACCGTCTCTTGCTACCACCGCCGGGTCCGTCTCTGTCAGGGAACCGTAGTATGGGATCTTCGCCTTGGTCGCGTTCTGCTTCAGCTGGTCAAAAGCACCGGCACGGAAGGTATCAGCGCACACCAAGCAGGCCTTGAAGCCTCTCGCTTGATAGTGGCGTGCGAGCTTCGTACACGTCGTCGTTTTACCGGCACCCTGCAGACCGACAAACATGATGATGTTGGACTTGCCCTTCTTGGGCTTGAACGGTTCGGCATGGGGATCGACCAGCTTGACGAGCTCATCAAAAACGGACTTTTGGATGAGGCGCTTCTTGTTGACGGCGGGCGGGAGCTCCTTGAAGTTGACGGTACTCTTGATCGATTTTCGCAATTGGCCGACGAGGCGCACGTTAACGTCGGCTTCGAGGAGGGCGGAGCAAATCTCCTTGAGCATGCCATCGAAAGCCTGCGACACGGATACAGATCTTGTTAGCAGCTGCTGTTGCATCTCACGCCGGCATCGTTGTTGGCGACTGCGACGGAGGGTTCTGCGGGGTAGGGATGCGGCGCACCTTTTCGTCGAGGTTGGGCTCTCTGGTGAGATTTGTGACGGCCGTGTTGATGCGGCGACCGAGATCTTGAAGAACCATGGTGGGCGGTTTGCGGCTACCGAGCCGACTTGGGGTATCTCGAGGGGGGTTCTTTTGGTGATGCTCTCGAGTATCGGGAGAACGACGTGTTGCAAATGGGAATTTGGCTTCAGGGAGGGATGTGGATTGCTGCGCTAGCCGTCCAGTGCCACCACGCCGGAATCCATGGATGTGACTGGTGAAGTGCGCAGTGTGGGGTTGGTGACCTCGACCGCGGGACGTCGGATACACCGTTTCTCCAGACCCCAGGTATCTCCGTATACTGTGCATCGATATCTGCACTGTGAAGCTCGATACTGTGAAGCTATTCCCAGATATCACAAACTTCGTCAACCTCCGGCCATCTATGACCCCTAATCAATGGGATTTGCTCCAACGCTTTCTCAACTTCATTAAAAAATCTCTTCGGAAAATCCTGGCCGACAGGGTATCGGTGTCAACCA